AGTTTGAAACTTTTCATTCATTCAAGAAGTACTTATCAGGTGCTCATGCTGTGCCAGCCATTGTGCTGATTTCCAAGAATTCAATAGTGAGCACATAGTTTGTGATTTCATGGAACTTAAGGCAGTAAGAGAAAGATAAATTATTAATAAAATACAAAAAGGCATAATTAGAAACTATGGGCTGGGCACAGTGGCTCATACCTGTTATCCCAGTGCTCTGGGAGGCCAAGGTGGGAGCTTCACTTTTGGCCAGGAGTTTGAGACCAGCCTGGACAACATAGCAAGATCCTGTCTCTACAAAAATAATAAAAATTAGCCAGGGATGGTGGCATGTGCCTGATTAAGTACTATTGTTATTCCCATTTTACAGATGGGGAAAATGAGGGCACAGAGAGAGTAAATAATTTGCCCAACGTTACAGAGCTATTAGCTATCTACCCACAATTTGTATTAGGTTGTCTTAAGTTCAGACCTCATAATCTTAGCCATTATGCTCTATTGCCTTCCTCTTGTGTCTTACCATTCCAGTCTGTACTTCATGCAGTTTCCCTTCTGAAACGTAGCCCTGATCATGCTGCTCCACTTTACCTTCTCCCTTTAGAAACCTTACTGTCTTCTCATCACCTACAGTTTCTTAGCATGAGGCAAGTGCCTCACAATTTAGTATTACTTATGCTTCTTACCATCTGATGCACTGTCCTAAAACTGCATGCCATTGCTCAGCTGTAATATGCTCTGTCTTTGCATGTGCTGTTTTCTCTGCCTAGAATGATCCTTTTTTACTTTTTGGTGAAACTCTACATAGCCTGCTCATATTTAAGTATCTAGCTTAAACCTCACTTCATCTGTAAAGCTTTCCCCATCATCCCATCCTGAATTAGTCCCTCACTGCTCCTCTAAACTGGTACCTTCTTTTATTTTCCCATTCTGAAGTCTTTTCACCAAAGCAAGAATCTCAGTGGTCTCTTTAGCTCCCCACCTTTCCTGCCACAGCTGGAAAAATCCACCTGTTTTGGTTCCTACTGCCCCTGTGTTGGCAGTGCAGTTTTCTCTTCACCTCTACAGCTGCTGCTTAAGTCCATTTTCTGCATCTGGCCTCACTGTTGTGCCAGAGTCATCTTTTCAAAAAGCACAAGTAGTATACCATTCTCCTGTCCGGGACTCTTCAGCGCCTCTCACTGCTCTTCAGTAAGTCACCCTGTGTTGTTGGTCCCCACTAGCCTTGCTTGTATTATCTCACTTTCCTTTCAGCATACCCCAAGCATACCCACATTCCTTGGCTTCATATTATGGTTATAGATGTGCTCTTCCTCTACAAGATTATAAACTCAAGTTTAAAGATTTATCTTTGGGCCAGATCAAGTGCTGGCTTTTGGGAGGCCAAGGTGGGCCAATCACTTGAGCTCAAGACCAGCTTGGGCAACATGTCAAAACTCCGTCTCTACAAAAAAATGCAAAACTAGCCAGGCATGGTGGTGCATGCCTTGTAGCCCCAACTACTTGGGAGGCTGAGGCGGAGAAGATCACTTGAGCCTGGGAGGCGGAGGCTGCAGTGAGCTGAGATTGCACCACTGCACTCCAGCCTGGGCAACAGAGTGAGACCCTGTCTCAAAAAACAAAAACAAAACAAAAAAGATTCATCTTTGAATTCCTAGCACAGTTTATAGGATGTTTATATCATGTTTATGGTCGAATATCCCTGATTAAATTTTATTAATTATAAGTAAAGAGTAATATATCATCTGTATTTTGGAGAATGTGTTTTGATATAAAGAAAGAGCTTTTCCTTAAAAGGGATAAACTTCAGTTAGTAGGAAAATTGTTTTTGTGAAATTTTGCACTTCTCAGTGATGCCAGATACATAGGATTTATTTTATCTAATGGTGATCAAGTTATTTATTGGCATCTTTAAAAGTGGCGATAAGCTGGCACGGTGGCTCACACCTGTTAATCCCCACACTTTGGGAGTTCAATATAGGTGGATCGCTTGAGCCCAGGAGTTTGAGATCAGCCTAGGCAACATAGCAAGACTTCGTTTCTACTAAAAATTAAAAATAGCCAGGCATAGTGGCGCATGCCTGTTGTACAAGTTACTTGTAAGGCTGAGGTGGGAGGATCACCTTAGCCCAGGAGTTTGAGGTTGCAGTGAGCTATGATTGTGCCACTGCATTCCAGCCTGGGTGACAGAGCGAGACCCTGTCTCAAAAAAAAAAAAAAAAAAAAAAAAAAAAAAAAAAAAAAAGGGTGGGATAGATCTGGTAACATTTAGACACTTGCATTGCCCTTGTCATGAGGTGGCAGAAGCAAGAGCTGTGGCAGGAACCATATGAACAGTGAATGCAGAAATGCTTTGTATACATAAAGGCCTATACTGGTGAGAAAGATAGAGGATGTAGTTGAGATGTGCTGGAGAGAGCACTGGATTTAGAAAATGTCTCTTTGAAGTCTGACTCTGCAACCTTACCAATCGACCTTGAGGTAGGTATTTTCTTCTTGCTGAGCCTTAGGTTCCTAATCTATAAAATTGGAATAAACCTTGCCTCTTAGGGTTCTTTTGGGAAGATTAATTGAGATGTGAGACACAGCCTTCTTTAAAAAATCCTGAAGTCTGTTCAGATCCCTAGCACAATATGTATTTTAGGGTTTTATTTTATCATGCCCATGTTAGACACCATTCCCACTTATTTCACTTATTAGTAACATATTGACAAGTTTGATTCTTGAGGCAATCTAGCTTCCTGTTTAGAACTCATGTTCATGTTTGTTCATTTCTATCAGTGACTAAAGGCATTCTGGTGTGGAAAAAGGAAAAGTGGACCTGGAACCAGAAAGACAAGGGTCTCAGTGCTGGGTAGGACAGGGAAGATAAAGTAGATAGGTGGAGAGAAGAAGGGGTGAGGACCTGGGTATAGAAAGCACTTTGCTTCAGGCTGTTTAGACAGAGGTAGTTATAAATTGCATTTTGTTGCTTTTATTTTTGAAAAGCTGCCTTATAGTTCCTTGAGTGTAGCTCCAATCACCTTGCATTGTATGCCATGCTAAGTTGGTACTACCAGTTTCCAAAGACCTTTCAACAGAGTATTAATGAAGCACCCACATGTGTCTCACTTTGGGGATGGGTCCTAATAGGGTAACACACAATGTTCCTGTTTCTAGGAGATTTGCTAGAAAGAACACCCTAACTAGTAACGTTTTGACCAGATTCTGAGGAGACAAGTTCTATTGCAAGATTTGTTGTTGAGAATGGTATCCTGTGGAAGGAACTGTGGAAATTTTTGGAGGTGGAAACGTACTTTGTTTATTTTTTTTAGAGACGGAGTTTCACTGTATTGCCCAGGCTGGAATGCAGTAGCATGATCATAGCTCACTATAACATCAAACTCCTGGGCTCAAGTGATCTTCCCACCTCAGCTTCCCAAGTTTCCAGGACTACAAGACACACACCACCATGCCCAGATATATGTAATTTTTTTGTAGAGACAGGGTTTCACTATGTTGCCCACGCTGGTCTCAAATTCCTTGGCTCAAGTGATCTTCCCATCTTGGCCTCCAAAAGTGCTGGGATTGCAAGCACAAGCAACCATGCCTGGCCCTGAAAAGGTACTTTAGATCTCATCTGACCTTAGCTTCGGTCCCAGTAATTTGCCTCTGTGACTAGCATTAAGCCACATAGCTAGTAAGTGACCCATCCCCCCTCCGGGGGCTTTCAACACCAGATCTATTTCTACCACTATGGAGGCTGTCTCCAGTCAGAATATTCTCCCTCCGTTTCAGGTTCTTTCGCATTTCTTAATTAGTTCTGTGTTTGTGAGCAAATGTTGTGCTAGATATGTTGATATGTTGCCTGTAGGGACAGAGCCATTTTACTCCTCTGTGACAGTGAAACAGGGTGGAGAGGTTCTTAGCTGTTTTGTAGAAAGACCTTCTTGAGAAAGAACTGAGTGGGCCTCTTGGATGTTATAATGAATCCTCTCTGGGTTTTGATTTACCCTCTGCTTTTCTCCCCAGGAAGCCTCAGGCTTACCAACACTGCCTCATTAATCAGCCACTATCCTCTGGAGAAGGAGAATGAGGCCATAATAAATAAGCTCAAGGTCAGGCTCCTGAAACAGCAGTCCTTCCCTCTAGCACCAGGGTTTCCTTTTGGCCTCTCCCTCTCACCCTTGAGATAACATCCCTCCTAGTAGAAGACTTCTTGGTGCCTGTTGTTTACAGAGGAGTTTTGGTCCTTTAATGTTTGTAAAGCTCTCACATCCTCAGAAAAAAATTCTTTAGTGATTAGTTTTGAAATTGAAGCTGTTCGATTATATTAAGAAGTTGCTTTTTGACCTCATGGTGGCTCACTCCTGTAATCCCAGCACTTTGGAGGCCCAGGCAAGTGGATCACCTGAGGTCAGGAGTTCAAGACCAGCCTGCCCAACATGGTGAACCCTCATCTCTACTGAAAATACAAAATATTAGCTGGACGTTGTGTTGGGTGCCTGTAATCCCAGCTACTTGGGAGGCTGAGGCAGGAGAATCACTTGAACCCGGGAGGTGGAGGTTACAGTGAGCTGAGGTTGTGCCATTACACTCCAGCCTGGGCAACAAAAGCAAAACTCTGTCTCAAAAAAAAAAAAAAAGTTGATTTTCATGAGGAAAAGCGCATGGCTTTTTTGATTCACTGAGAATGGGCTAGCTTTTATTCATTCACTCAGTGATTGTCTATTTAAAAGCTATAGAGAATAATATAGGTTGGCTGGGTCCAGTGGCTCATGCCTGTAATCGCAGCTACTCAGGAGGCTGAGGCACAAGAATCACATGAACCCGGGAGCTGGAGGTTGCAGGGAGCCAAGATTGCACCACTGCACTCCAACCTGGGCGACAGAGAGAGACTCCATCTCAAAAAAAAAAGAGAGGGAGAATAATACAGGGACAAGGTAGACAACTTACTATATGACTAAATCGTGTAAGTCTCCTAGATCCTGAGACTCAGATTTCCTCATCTTCAAAACTGCCCAGTGCTTGCTTCAGCAGCACATGTACTAAAATTGGAACAATATAGAGATTAGCATGGCCCCTTTGCAAGGATGACATGCAAATTTGTCAAGTTCCATATTTTTTAAAAATTTTATTAAAATAAGATAAAACTGCCCAGTACAATGCCTTCTAGTCTTATCTCTGTCACTTATGTCCTGGCATAATAAATATCTAAAGACTGTCATTATTGTTGCTGTTCCTGTTGTAATTTGTAGATAATCCAGAGCCTCTCCCCTGAGATCATCTTGTTTAATCCTCAGGACAATTCGTAACCTTACAGACCTGCCTGGCAGGGTGGAGGGTTTGGGTAAGGGCATAACGACTCTAGATGCTAGAACTGGGCCTGGTCATGGAGGGCCTTGAGTACCAGGTTCATTATTTGTGTTAGAATCATCCCATGGCAATGACTGGGGACTTGAACTCTCCTAGTATTTGTTTCTGTTTTTGTTTTTTGAGACATGTCTTGCTCTGTTGCCCAGGCTGGAGTGCAGTGGTATGATCATAGCTCACTGTAACTTCAAACTCCTGGACTCAAGCAGTCTTCCCACCTCAGCTTCCTGAGTAGCTAGGACTACAAGCGCACGCCACCATGCCTGGCTAATTCTTTTATTTTTTGTAGAGATGGGAGTCTTGCTATGTTACCCAGGCTGGCCTTGATCTCCTGAGGAGTTTGCATTTCTGAGCTCAAATGATCCTCCCAAAGTGTTGAGATTACAGGCATGAACCACCACACCCAGCCCCAGTCTTTTTTCGTTTAAACTTTCAAAAATGATAATATAAATCCTGGTGCAATGGCACCTGCATGTAGTCCCAGCTACTAGAGAGGCTGAGGCAGGAGGATCACTTGACTGTTTGAAACAACCTTTGTGCTCCTAATCAGTCACCACCCCCTTCCAACCTCTATCTGAATTCTACTGAAATTTATTTATTTATTTTAATTAAAAATTTTTTTTTCTCTTTTGAGACAGAGTCCGGCTCTGTCACCCAGACTAGAGTGCAATGGCGCAATCTCAGCTCACCGCAACCACCGCCTCCTAAGTTCAAGTGATTCTCTTGCCTCAGCCTCCCAAGTAGCTGAGATTACAGGCACGTGTCACCACACGCTAAATTTTGTATCTTTAGTAGAGATGGGATTTTGCCATGTTGGACAGGCTGGTCATGAACTCTTGAGCTCAAGCAATAGGCCCGCTTCTACCTCCCAAAGTTCTGGGATTAAGGCATGAGTCACTGCACGCAGCCCTCTCTACTAAATTTAAGGTAATTTCCTTCCCTCCTTCTTCCTCCCCTCCCCTTCCTCCTTCCCCTCCCTTCCCACTCCTCCCTTCCCACTCCTCCCTTCCCCCTCTCCCCTCTCTTCCCCCCTCCCT